CAGGGCTCCAGGCTCCCGGCGTCTGCGCGCAGGTTCCCCGAGGACCCCCGCACCTGGCCGGTGGACCGCCAGCTCCTGTGGGGAGAGGCCTTGCTCATCACACCGGTGCTCGAGGCTGGGAAGGTGGAAGTGACTGGCTACTTCCCCGCCGGCACGTGGTACGACCTGCAGACGGTGAGTCCCGGGTCCCTAACCCCAGAGAATTGGGAGACGAGAGGGTCCCTCCCTCCTGTCCTGTCAGCGTGGACTGTGTCTGCCCCCATAGTCCTTGGGCCTCGCCTGTGCACTCCCGGGCGTCATCCTGTGCAGTCCTTGCGGGAACCCATTTTCCGATGTGCAAACTGAGCCTGAGCTGAAACTTGTCTGGGTGCTGTGGCCCTCCCTGCTACAGGGCGAGCCAGGACCCCACTTCTTTTACTCTCAACATCCTGCCCCTCCCGGTGCCCTCTGGCCTGCCTCACCCGGGCCCAGGATTCGGGCCTCTCCTGCCCTGTTGCCACCAAGTGGCCGGGCCCCTGCCCTGAGGTCACACCAGCTTGTCTCTGCCAGGCCCCCTGGGCCTCCCCGTGGAGTCCTCGGCTCCTGACCACAGCACGGGGCTTTGACACTGCCCAGGACCCTTGGTGACGTGCCATCCCCATCCAGGTGCCAGTAGAGGCCTTTGGCAGCCTCCCGCCTCCACCTCTGGCACCCCTCAAGCCTGCCATCCACAGCGAGGGCCAGTGGGTGACGCTGCCGGCCCCCCTGGACACCATCAACCTCCACCTCCGGGCTGGACACATCATCCCCCTGCAGGTACCTGGCCGGACACCGAGGCATTTGTCCGGGGCCACATGGCTTCTGTGCAGCTGGGGTCCAGCCCGGCCCCGGCAGCGATGCTCCTGAGGGTGGAGGAGGAGCGGGTCCAGGTGGGAGGCTCAGGAGACAGCCCACTAACTTGTGGCCGGGCCTGCGGACGGGTCAGCCAGTCTGCAAACATCTGTGGGCCTCTCCTGTCCTCGGGGGTCCGCCTCGGACAGGCTGGCCTCCATGGGGGTCTGGGCCACTCGACGGCAGGCCGTCCTGCAGACCCTGGTTCCCGGGCCCGGGGCTGTCCTCACGCGGTGTCCTTCCCGCCTGGGTCGAAGGCTCTGCCAGGTGACATGTGCCACCCGGTCTGCAGGGCCCTGGCCTCACGACCACGGAGTCGCGCAAGCAGCCCATGGCGCTGGCCGTGGCCCTGACCTCGAGCGGGGAGGCCCGCGGGGAGCTCTTCTGGGATGACGGGGAGAGCCTGGGGGTGCTGGAGCGTGGGGCCTACACACAGCTCGTCTTCCTGGCCAGGAATGTGAGTCCTGCCCCCGTCGAGCAGGGGTGGAGTGTGGGGCCAGCCTGGGGTGAGGGGAGCCGGGTCTGGGTCGCCCCGAGTACAGGCTGTTTGCTTGCAGAGGAGTGGGCCCGAGTCCCGACATTGCCGGCTCGCCCATGGCCTGTGCTGCTGGGCCAGGCTGGGCCGAGGCCCCCCGCCGTCCCCGGGGCTGTGCAGAGGCCTGTCCTGGGTGCTCCCTGCTGCCGTCTGCTCACACCCCTTCTCTCTGTCCTACTGGCCCAGAACACCGTCGTGAACGACCTGGTGCACGTGAGCAGCGAGGGGGCCGCCCTGCAGCTGAGGAGGGTGACCCTCCTGGGCCTGGCCTCGGCCCCCAAGCAGGTCCTTGCCAATGGGGTTCCTGTCTCCAACTTCACCTACAGCCCCGACACCCAGGCAAGAGCCCAAGACGGGACAGAGGGCTGTCCCCCAGGACGGGTGAGGGTGGGGGTGGCCGGGCCCCTGGGGACACAGTGTCCTCCAAGCTGGCCTCGGGACATGCTGTCTCGAAGCCGTGGACTCTTGGGCCTCACAAGGGGCGGGAGGAACTGGATCTTGGGGGAGGGGGGCAGGATCGGCCCCCAGTACCTTATCTTTCTCCTGCCTGTGTCTGCGCTGACGCGCCGTGTTAAAGAGCTTGATTGAGGCGGCCAGAGCTGAGAGCACTGTCCCCGCCAGCCGGGTCAGCCGCCACTCCTGCCTGCTGGGCGCTGGGCTCTCCCCTCTGCCTCCGTGGTTTGGCGGCCAATGGTTCTTTCTTGTTCCCAGACCCTGGACATCCCTGTCTCGCTGACGATGGGACAGCAGTTTCTCATCAGCTGGTCTTGACTGGGGCCAAGGGCGCGTCGGGCCTCGAGTTCCCCGACTTCACCAACCCCTGGTGTTCACCCATGTCGCGTAGTGCTGACCTCCCTCCAACACCCAGATCTGCTCACCTGTCTACCTCCTGTGCTGGGCGCTGGGCCAGCGGCACCTGCATCACAGTTTCCTGGTCCAGCTCCCACGTCGGGCCAGTGTCCTGGGGTTGCCTGGGTTTGGAATGTTTCACTGGAGCCTTGCTCTCCGTAGCCCGACACGGATGCGTGGAACGTCGGCCACCCCCAGCTGCCTGCCCCGATGGCAGGGAAGGTGGCGTTTGGGGCCACGTGGTACCTGTGCCCCGAGTCACGCTCGGGCGGCTCTGCTGCTGCCCTGACAGGACGGAGCTGGGGGCCGCCTGCTGGGACCTCGGGAGACTGCCTGGGAAAGATTTTGTTTTAAGTGCAATTATTTGTAATAAAAGCGGCATCCGGCCAAGCCTCTGGGTGCCCCTGGCATCCAGGGCACAGAGGGTGTGCCCGGGGGCCATGACACGGAGACACGTAACAGTGTCTTTGAGGAGTGAACGTTTTTCATTGTGATGAGCACAGCTTGCTTCTATTTCTTACCCCCTTTAATGAAATCTTTGCTAAACCCAAAGTCCCCATGACTTTTCTCCTGTTTTCTCCTAGAGAAGTTTTGTAATTTTAAGTCTTACATTTCCAGCGAGGTTTGATAGATGCAATGAAGTAAAGGCTCGTCCAGGTTTTCTGGTTTTCTTTCTTGTATGACCAGTCCATTGTCCTAGCACCACTTGTTGAAAATATTACCCTTTCCCCATGGAACTGCCTCAGTACCTTTGTTGAAACCCATTCCCTGTGTGCCTGTGGTCTGTTTATTTCTGTCTCAGGGACCTGCAGGCCTGTCCTCAGCCAGTCCACAATGTCTTCAGTAATATTTTTTCCCCAGTGTTTTTATGTTATTTCAGAGGGAGAGAGATAGATCAGTCATGAGAATCATTGATCGGCTGCCTCCTGTACACCCCGTGTTGGGGATGGAGCCCACAACTGGGGCATGTGCCTGGACTGGGAATTGAACTGTGACCTCCTGGTTCATGGGTCAACGCTCCACCACCGGGCCACGCCGGCGGGCTTTGGTGATATTTCTTGGTATCAGGCAGTGGGAGTCCTCCAGTGCGTCCTTTTCCAGTTGTTTTCCTCTGCTGGCTTTGTATTTCCAGATGCAGTTCAGAAGCCACTTGTCAATTTTCACCAAAACAATGTCTCTTGGTATTTTGAGTGGGGCCTTGTTGAATGGGTAGGTGAACTCAGGGAGAACCCCATCCTCTATAATAGAGGTAATATGCAAATTGACCCTCACAAAATGGCAGCCTACAACCAGGCCGGCAGGGGGGTTTGTGAGGGATGACCTAACAACTCAACAGCAGGCTGGGTGGGGCGACCAGGCCAGCGGCGGGGTGGGGGGCGCAGTTGGGGGCAACCAGGCTGGCAGGCAGGTGAGCGATTAGGAGCCAGTGGTCCAGGATTGTGAGAGGGATCCCAGATTGGAGAGGGTGCAGGCTGGGCTGAGGGGCCCCCCCCCCCGACTCTTCTAGTCTTTTGGGGCAGTCTCTCACTTATTTGCATATTTAGTTCCTCACGGCAATTATTTGTGGGTTCAATGCAGACCTTGCAGCCCTGGGTATTCCCCACATTGGATGCTATTAAAGGGGGTTTTTTGAATTTCCCTTTCCCATGGCGTTGCTTGCAAACAGCACAGGTGATCTGGGGAGGCTGACCTTGCAGAACTGACCTTTCAATTATTCGTCAGGGGCTTGTAGATTCTGTGAGGCCCGCCCCTCGGTGCCTCCTACCCGGCCCCTCCCAGGTGGCCTCCAGTGGGAGGTTGACACTGAGCTCCCACCACCACTGCACTGGCCTAACCTGTGCAGGTCAGTGTTTGCTTCCTGTTTTGAAGCTGCTAGGTGCATAGGTGTTTAGGATTGTTGCATTGCTGATAAATTACCCTTCATCCTATGAAACCTCCCTGTCCTGGGGAACCCTTTACTGTGGACACGGCCACTCCAGTGGTGATCAGTGTGGCGCCGTGGTTTCTCCATTGGTTTTTTTCATTTTCAACTTATTTGTGCCTTTATACAGCGTGGGCAAAAGTAGGCTTGGTTGTGAGTACGAGACAACTTACTGTTGGGTGATTATTGCATTTTCCATCCCAACGACTGCAAGCCTCCTTTTGCCCGCCCTGTTCTTGCCTTCGCCTCTGCCTCATACTGACTACACCTGGTCTCCATCCACTTTATCGGGGTGACCCGACTTATTGGCACAGTTGCTCATAGTGACCCTTTTATTTTGAGGGCAATTGTAACATCTCTTTCCTGATTTTGGTAATTTGAGTCTTTTCTTGGTCAATTTCACTTAAAAATGGTCAACATTCTTGATCTTTTCAAAGAACCAACATTGGGTTTTGTTGATTTTCCTATTATTTCAGAGGAAATTCCTTTCATAAACTATAGTTTCAGAGGCTGGAGTTAGAATCACCAATGAACTTGAAATTTAGACTCATCCATCCCACAGCACGGGGAGGGGCTCAGCAAGCAGAGTGTGGGTACAGGAAGGTGTGGTAGCTCAGGACATAGAAATGAGAGTTCATGGGCAAAGTTTAAAATGTTTAATGAAAAAGACCAAAAGCAAAGCATTATTTACATGTAGGTAAGAAAAGAAGACAGAACCCAAGACTGAATCCTGGGCAGGTTCCGAGGTGCTACTACAGACTTGTTTTCCCCTTTGTAAGAACTTTGTGTGCCTTCATAGATCCTTCTCCCCATGAGGTGCAGGTATTGCCACGCCCTGACAATGTGGTCAGAGGGATCAAGGTTCCATTACATGTGCGCCGTAACCTCCTTCAACAGAAACTGCTCTGGACAGTCCCGAGGGGACACAGAGCCAGCCAACTCGTCCCCAGCGCAGCAGACGCCTCAGATCAGATCGGCAACTGAAAGCAGGAAAACAGACAAAAGGAGACGCATTAACTGAAGCCCCAGCAGAGCCCCCTTGCAGCCCCCGGGACAGGATGGAGGATGGGCCCCGCGCACCATTCATGGGCATCTCGTCGATCTGCGTGGAGTAGTACTGCTCAATGTCTCGCAGGATTCGGATGTCATCATTCTTCACGAAGTTGATGGCCACGCCCTTCCGGCCGTACCGCCCCGACCGCCCGATTCTTGGGAAGAAGGAAGATTCCGTTGGTACACACAGCGAGGACCGCGTGCAGGCGCCCGGCGGCAGGGAGTAGGGGGGTGGGGGGTGTTGAGGGGCGGGGGCGGCGCCCTACCTGTGGATGTAGAGCTCCCGGTTGTTGGGCAGGTCGTAGTTGATGATCAGGGACACCTGAGGGACGTCCAGGCCCCGGGCCCAGACGTCGGTGGAGATGAGCACCCGGCTGCGGCAAGAAGGGGACGCGAGGCCGTCACTCAGTCATGAAGGCTCAAGACTGGATGCCAGTCACCCGCTCCCTGGTCCACGTGGGGCAGGGGCAGCTCCAGAAAGACCTTTCTCAAGGCCCCTGGGTGAGCGTGGTGATGGGGCCACGTGTGGGGTCTGAGTACAAGTTCCACGTCTCACCGCACCAGTCACGGCACCACAGGCCGTGGCGATGCCAGCAGGGCCTTGCCTGGAAGACACTGTTCTTCCGCAAAGCTCTGGAGCAGCGGCCTCAGGCTGTGGAGGGGCTCGCTCCCACCGCCCCTCCTTCAGAGAAAGCTGCTGCCCACAGACCTGCATGCCCCACCCCGAGGCCGCCAGCCCCACCCCGAGCCCACTCACCTGGCGCCGGAGCGGAACTCCTTCATGATGGACTCCCGCTCCTTCTGCGGCATGTCCCCGTGCATCGACGACACCGTGAAGTTGGCTTCTCTCATTTTCTCCGTCAGCCAGTCAACCTACCAACCAAATGGCAGATGCTCCTTGAGCTCCCAAAGCAGAGATGGACTCGGGACTTAGCGCATCATCGCGGAGCCCAGTGAGCCACCCGTAGAGCAGGCGCGCTGAAACGCGGACTCCTCACTGGATGTGAGGACCGTCATTTGCCCAGCTGGTGGCACGAAAACCCTCTCCATCTGTTCACGTGGGAACATCCATCAGCTGAGCCACCTGACACCGACGGCGTGGGACTGGAATCGACACTGTGGTTCCACTGAGCACGCGCCCACAGCGGCTTCTGTGCTACAGGGCAGAGCGGGCAGCTGTCCCGGAGACCACGTGCCCACAAAGCCTAAAGCAGACTTCCGGCCTCCACACCCGCCCATCCCAGCTCCGCAGAGACCGAGCCTCAGTTGGCACCAGAGGCCATGCGAGGGCGCAGCCACGCACCTTCCTCTTGGTGTTGCAGAAGATGACGGCTTGCGTGATGGTCAGCGTGTCGTAGAGGTCACACAGCGTGTCAAATTTCCACTCCTCTCTTTCCACCGCCACAAAAAACTGCTTGATGCCTTCCAGCGTCAACTCATCACTGGAGGAGAGACACGAACCCTGTTACCTGCTCTTCCCACCGAGACTGGGGGGCAGCGCAGGCCAGGCCCCACCAGCCCTCCAGCCCGGCGGCTTGTCTGGCTGGCCACACCTCCTAGGAGCCACCACTTCTCCCGCCCGGGCCCAGCTCTGGATCAGAACCAGCAGTTACCACCACCCTGAACAGTTAGAACACCCCATTGTTCCACGGCACACACTCATCTTACTCTCAAGCCACCGGGAAACACCGGCAGCTAGTTGTTAAGTTTGGAATTGCTAGGTTAAGAGGGAATGCACATGAAAAGCTGGCTTTTCAGAAAAGGCGATTAGGGTTCTGTGTTTGAACCCCAGTGTCGCCCACGTGCCCGTTCAGCACCGTGGAGAGGCAGGGCGTGCTCACCGCTTCACCAGGATGCGGATGGGGTCCGTCATGAACTTGCTGGTCATCTCCAGGATCTCGTGGGGCAGCGTGGCGCTGAGGAGCACCACCTGCGTGGCCGGGGGCAGGTACCGGTACACGTCGTAAATCTGCTCTTTGAAACCTGGAGGAACAAGACCACAGGAACCTGAGGCCGCGCCCTGCACAGGGATGTGAGGCCAAGCTCACACCGAGTCAGTGCAGAGCTGCGACTGTACAGCCTCCGATTTCCGCCAAATCCTCTCACAGCTCAGCTCAGGGGCCCGTCGCCTGTGCCGACCCCGGACACACAGAAAACAACGCGTCTGGTCGGGACGACAGGCTGTGCCCTGCTGGCTGTGGGCAGTCTTAGCAGCGGCCACAAAAAGACCAACTGAGTCTCCTGCCCCGTGGCCCATGGGGCACAGCTATGCCCCACGGACAGACACACTGCCGTACTGAGAGCACGTCTCTGGTGCCCGTTTCCACCCCGCACTGTGAACATGCGCAGTCACGCGGGCAGAGAATCAGTCCGTCTGTTACACTCACCTTTATTCAACATCTCATCGGCTTCATCCAAAACCAACATCTTGATTGCACGTGTCCTCAGACTCCTGCGCCGAATCATATCTAAAAAACCAGACGTAGGAGGATTAGACCTCAGGCTACGAGGAAGGAACCGGCCACTCCAGAGACCTCCCTCCGCTCCCTACAAGTGACCCCGCGCAGACAGGCAACGCGGGGAACGGAGCGCGGCCCTCGCTTACCAAAGACACGCCCCGGCGTGCCGGCCACAACGTGCTGACCGTAGTCCAGCTTCCGGATGTCCTCCCCCACGTTGGTGCCCC